GAAGGAAGGTATGTAGAAGAGGATAAAGGTCTAGCTGACTGCCTCAATGAATATTTTTGTTCTGTATTTACAGATGAAAATGAAGGAAAGGGACCTCAGTTGAGAAAAAGGATAAATGAGTCATTTATTACACGTGAGTTTACAGAGGAAGAGGTTCTATTTCAACTGTCAAAAGTAAAGACAAATAAGTCAATGGGACCTGATGGAATACACCCAAAGCTATTAAAAGAGCTTAGTGGTGTACTAGCAAAACCATTAACAGATTTATTTAACCAATCATTGTTAACAGGAGTAGTCCCAGAAGATTGGAAGTTAGCGAATGTTGTGCCCATTTACAAGAAAGGTAATAGGGAGGAGTCGGGCAACTATAGGCCAGTAAGCCTTACTTCAGTAGTGGGGAAAGTGATGGAAACCATGTTAAAGGATAGGATTGATGAACATCTAAAACACATGGATTTCAAGATCAGAGACAACATGGGTTTACTTCAGGGAGATCATGCCAAACTAATCTTATTGATTTTTTTGATTGGGTAACTAAAATTATAGATCAGGGTGGTGCAGTAGACATTGCTTACCTAGATTTCAGTAAGGCTTTTGACACTGTTGCACATAGAAGGCTTATCAATAAACTGCAATCTTTAAGTTTGGATTCCAATATTGTTGAATGGGTAAGGCAGTGGCTGAGTGACAGGCAACAGAGGGTTGTAGTTAATGGAATATATTCGAAGCTTGGACTTGTCACCAGTGGGGTACCTCAGGGATCTGTACTTGGACCCATTCTCTTTAATATTTTTATTAGTGATATTGCAGAAGGTCTTGATGGTAAGGTATGTCTTTTTGCTGATGATACTAAGATATGTAACAGGGTTGATGTTCCAGGAGGGATAAGCCAAATGACAAATGATTTAGGTAAACTAGAAAAATGGTCAGAATTGTGGCAACTGACATTTAATGTGGATAAGTGCAAGATAATGCATCTTGGACGTAAAAACCCAAGGGCAGAGTACAGAATATTTGATAGAGTTCTAACCTCAACATATGAGGAAAGGGATTTAGGGGTGATTATTTCTGATGACTTAAAGGTAGGCAGACAATGTAATAGAGCAGCTAGCAGAATGCTTGGTTGTATAGGGAGAGGTATTAGCAGTAGAAAGAGGGAAGTGCTCATGCCATTGTACAGAACACTGGTGAGACCTCACTTGGAGTATTGTACACAGTACTGGAGACCGTATCTTCAGAAGGATATTGATACCTTAGAGAGGGTTCAGAGAAGGGCTACTAAACTGGTTCATGGATTGCGGGATAAAACTTACCAGGAAAGGTTAAAGGATCTTAACATATATAGCTTGGAGGAAAGACGAGACAGGGGGGATATGATAGAAACATTTAATTATATAAAGGGAATCAACACAGTAAAGGAGGAGACTATATTTAAAAGAAGAAAAACTACCACAACAAGAGGACATAGTCTTAAATTAGAGGGACAAAGGTTTAAAAATAATATCAGGAAGTATTACTTTACTGAGAGGGTAGTGGATGCATGGAATAGCCTTCCAGCTGAAGTGGTAGAGGTTAACACAGTAAAGGAGTTTAAGCATGCGTGGGATAGGCATAAGGCTATCCTAACTATAAGATAAGGCTAGGGACTAATGAAAGTATTTAGAAAATTGGGCAGACTAGATGGACCGAATGGTTCTTATCTGCCGTCACATTCTATGTTTCTATGTGTCTGGGAGGCTGTGGTTGCTGCTGCACGCAATGTTGATGGTGAACAGATCAAAACACTGACAGAATCCATGGATGGCAGGCTTTTGAGTGTCCTTGCAAAGAAAGGTGGCTATATTGGTCACTGATTTATTTTTGAATGTCAGAAATTTATATTTGTGAATGTTGAGATGTTATATTGGTTTCACTGGTAATAATAAATAATTGAAATGGGTATATATTTGTTTTTTGTTAAGTTGCCTAATAATTATGCACAGTAATAGTCACCTGCACACACAGATATCCCCCTAACATAGCTATAACTAAAAACAAACTAAAAACTACTTCCAAAAATATTCAGCTTTGATATTAATGAGTTTTTTGGGTTCATTGAGAACATGGTTGTTGTTCAATAATAAAATTAATCCTCAAAAATACAACTTGCCTAATAATTCTGCACTCCCTGTATTAGTGTTTTTGGTCAATAAGATTCTGTAATTAGGCCCCCATCATAACTGTCAGCACCAGGCCCACTGGGCTCTTAATCTGGCCCTGGCATAGAGTGGTCCTTTAAGTAATTTTATTGATTTCAGTTTGGGGGACCTGCCTGATAACCCAGGCAGAAAGTCCAGAGAATTTAATTTGCTAGCACTATATTTAACCCTGTAACTTTCCAAGACACCCTAAAACCTATACATGGGGGGTACTGTTCTACTCAAGAGATATCACTAAACACAAATAGTGTTTCAAAACAGTAAAACATATCACAGCAATGATATTGTCAGTGAAAGTTAAG